CTTTTTTTACGTTCTCATCTCGTTTCTATTATAAAAAATCTCATATAAAAAAGAAATTAAAAGTAAATAATATAATGATAGAATTAAGAACATGAAAATTTTACATAAATTATAATGCTTAAATGTAGTGTTATATTTAACTTATTAGAAATAAAGAGAAAGAAAAGAAGAATGATCTTAGAGAATTAGAAGAAAGGGGGAAAAAATTACAAGGAAATGCACTTTAATCTTCAAAGGAAACAGAATTACATTCGATTTATTGATACGAATGAATTAATTAGCTCTATTATCATCATATAAAAATAAATAGAAGTTCTGCACTATCTTGAATTAAATAAACTTTTCCTGTCTTATTTTATTTCTTTCAATAGATAAAATATTACTTTCTGTATCTAGATTTAATATTAATTTATCTCTGATATATTTAATTGTATTATATTATCCAACGATTTTATAAATGAATTAAAAATTATATAATTCTTACAATTTTAGAACACTGTACAGTATATTTTATTATTAAAATTTAAAATTATATCTTAAATTTTATATTGTTATTATTTTATTGAAATACTTAACAAAATAAAGTCTTTAAACTTTTAAAATTCTCTTTTAGGATTTTTAAATTCTTTAAAATCTTATTTTTTTTTTCAATTGAAGCAAATGATATATTTTACAGAATATTTAATTTAATATAAATAAAATTAATTTATAATTTCTAATTAAAATAGAAGTTCAGTATAACAAAATTGATCCACAATAAAAAGAAATATTATAATCTTATGTATTCATTTAGAAATAAAATAAAAATTTCAATATGACCTTCATGAAATGCTGTCTAATTTGCATTACAAATTGTCAATTATATGATCTTATCTTTGTACAGAATGATTGTAACTTATAAGGTTAAATATATAGTCTATTTATGAAGTAATAAAAAGTTTTTACCTATTGGTTCATTAACATTAGAATTATAATAGCATTGTCTGATTATAGTAAATTTCATAATCAGGCAGGCACCTTCTGATAATCCAGAATTGTCTGATAACAATCCGGCGTTATGTTAACAATTTAGCTGATTTTTAGCTAGATTTAGCTATTCTGATTTTGCATTTAGCTAAACAATTATATTTTTTTGTGTTATCAAGGTAAGGATTTAGTTATTTTTTCCATTTTCTCTATCTACAGTAAAACTTTATTCTAATGTTATTATAGCACTTTAGCTACTTTAGCTGTTAGCAACACTGTCTGGCATGGTAATATTCCATGAATTGGAACTTATTTGGACACGTAGTGCGCTGAAGACTCCGGGCTAAAAACACGTTGGGGAGCTGTTGAGTATTTTTCTGCTGTAGTGCTGTTTCGGAACATGTTTAATGTTTTGACGTCACAATAGGTAACGTCTTTCATTTACGTTACCTATCTCTAGCTGCAATTGACCGATTATGGCTGCCTCCTGTTCCAACGCAAATGTCACCCATCGATCAGCAGATGTAACTACGTAACAGCTACGGATTGAAACACCTTTGCTCAATTACAACTGTTAATTCTGCTGAAAGCAGCCATTGTAGCCATGAACTGTATCGTTTTCAGACTGATTAAATATCGTGCGTAAATAAATCAAAAGCATACGGCAGCATGAGCTGGTAGAAAATGTAGAGTATAGCAATGTCTGCAGCGTTCAGATCGCCAGAATCTCGTTATCCTATAGGCAAAATGGGCAATTTCCTGGGCCACCATTAGCATTGGCTCCGAACCAATCTTTAATGAGAAAATATTTTCCCAAAAAAATTCTCCCGAAGAAAAATGTTTGAAGTCAATACATGGGCCCCAAATTCAATACAGTAGACCCCCCTACAACGCGTAGATACGTTCCTCGTTATACGAATTTCGCGTTGTAGGAATCTACGTTATAGGAACCTGCGTTATAGGGGTCTACTGTATTGCTAAATATTAGACGAATCTAACAATATTTCTATTTTTTGTCCTAATTTCTTAGCTTAAAAATGTATTATTTTTTAGGCTAAGATTTTCATATAAAAAATAGAAACTTTTTGAATTATTTTTTATATATTTATATAAGATATTCTTTGATATTCTTTTATGAAAAGGTTACAACAGGTGGACTTTTATTAAGAGAATTAAAGAAACAGATGACGAGATGACCGAGATTTTTAAGGCGTCAGCCTAGTGCTTTGGGGTACCCGGGATCGAATCCGAGTGAGCAATCCCAGGAATTTTTGGTGTGGTCTGTTCCGGATACGTCGGGCCTCGTCCCTCATTCGACCATTCTCATTATGAGCTGATCGAATCCACAATAGGCCCGAAAAAAGGCCTCCTAGTACCCGCATGACGGAAAGAGCAAAAAATAAATAAAACAGAAACAATATTTAAACGAATTTATAAGTGTTATAATATTTAAATTTATTGTTAAACTAAGATGAAATGTTCTTATGATGAAGTATTTAGTTAAATTTTACATTGATTTAAAATTAAATATTAATATAAAATATGTAATTATTCGTAATTTTATGTTATAAAAATAAAAACTATAAAAATGCAAGAAGAAAATATATTACGTGGGAATTATTCCCTGTGTTTGAATTATTTATTAACTATTGCTTATTAATCTACAGTATATAAATTTGTCCTAGTGGACATTCTGCATAAATTTAAATATGCTTTTCTTATGTATTAGTTATCCTTAAACCCAAGAGAAAGATTACAAAGACTATGTTCTTCACATTATAGATAAATGTCTACTTTTAATCAAGTAAAAACGTAATACGAGAAATATATATTTATTTTAAATCAAGACAACATAAAATTTTAAATAAACCTATTTAAAATGCGAACTGAATACAATAACAGGCGAATCGTGAGATTGCAAACTTCTATCACTAATGGCACTAGAGCGTGGTGTTTTCTCACACCCAACTGATATTGATGATATCTTGTTGAGCTACATTACATCTACGAAATAGAAGCATTATCCTATTTCGGTAAATGGTTCTCAGTCAAGCAAAACATTCAACGGAATTAGCACTTAAAAATCTCGTCATTTCTTTCACTCCCATATTGTTATTTTAAATAACTTTTTCTTCTTTAATATATTTTTTAAAATTCTATTTATAATTTGCTGATTTATTCTCTCATTTAGTTATTTAAATGATCATTAAAATTTTCTCTGTAATTTACACCATTATTAAGATTACAGTCGACCCCCCTATAACACTGTTGATTATTCCGTTTTATATGAATTCCATGTTGTACGAGTCACTTAGATTTTACAAATATATGTGAACGGCTCACGTATTAGTAACATCTAAGTGACTCGTACAACATGGAATTCATATAAAACGGAATAATCAACAGTGTTATAGGGGGGGTCGACTGGTATATACTTCCGAATTATAAAACACTTAATTTTCGTGACTGATTAAAATTCTCATTGCGAATATAACTCGAGTTTATTATTAGCCTATATGTAATAAATACGGTGTAACAATGATTCACAATAAAAAGAAATATTGTTTAGAAATAAAGTAAAAAATTTCAGTATGGCCTTCATCAAATATAATCTAATTTGCATTACGGAACAAATTGTCAATTATATGATCTTATCTTTGTACAGAATGATTGTAACTTATAAGGTTAAATATATAGTCTATTTATGAAGTAATAAAAAGTTTTTACCTATTGGTTCATTAACATTAGAATTATAATAACATTATCTAATTATAGAAAATTCATAGTTAATGTCTTAATTATAGTTTGTACGACTGAAAATATCTTTGAAAAAACTTGGAAATGTTTTATTTATGATAAATACTTATGCATGAATTTTTTAAGATAATCGATCCAGTCCTATATCTTACTTAGTTTTATTAAAGGCTCCATTTACCCGAAAATAATATATCGTTATTCTGTTAATAGGCCTCTAACCGGAGTAGTGTCCTATATAGTTCGTGTTAAAATAATAATAATAATAATAATAATAAAATAACAAAGCAAAAAATTAGTTTATGAATGCAGAAAGTTGAATAATTATAATAATAATAATAATATACTTAATGGCTCTGTATTTAACGTTTAGTGTAGTTGACAAAAAGTTCTTTTTCATGGTTTTATTGTACTGTACTGTACCTTGTATCTTGTGATAAAAAGAAGCACTAATGGTATTATTAAGACCATTACAGTATTACATTATAGTAGATCATTAAAAGGAAAATAATGTTGCAGATTAAACAGAAATAACGTAACACAATAAACAGGCAAATGCACATATAGAGATGTTTTATTATATTTGTTCAAAACTTTTTTCGTGTCTTTTGATTTTTTAAACGACATACAAACAGTATACAATCAACATTATGTTGTACTTCAGATGATAGTAATCTGTGAACATCAATAAGTGTATAAGACGATAGGATCCCAAATAACCCATTTTATTTTACTGTTTTATTGATCTCATCCAGTAAAGATTAAATCAAAAGATAAATTAACAATAAACTGTTTATATATATATATATATTTTAAAAATTCAAAAAGTATTTTTTATTAAATCAAAGTTGTTACTAAGTTATTTATCAAATTTGTAGATGAAGTTTACAAAACAGAGCTTAAAATTTTGTACAGATTAAAATATATAAATGAAAATAATAGCTTGTGTACACTTAAATCTTTATATAAACATCAGTTAAATAATATAGGCTCTCTCTCTGATATAATTTTAGGCATAATATCCTCAATTACTTACTGATCCTGCCTAATTAATTAGNTCATACAAAATTTATATATTAAATTAATATTAATAAAAGTAAAAACTAAAAAAAAAGGAATTTATTTGAACAAATTTATGTGAAAACAATATCTATTTATTGCACAATAAATTAATAAATATATTCTGATCTACTTTATACTTTATCATTTTTACCCATGAAAAAATGATAAAGTAATAAAGTAATATTGAAATTTTTTCATAATTGTACCTTAATACCTTTAGGATGCCCTTACATCTTTAATTTATTCAAGAACATTTACTCAAATATCCTAGATTTAAATGAAAACATTTGTTGACCATAATGAAACTGGAAAATTAATCTTTATAATGTTCAGAGGAATCCATTTTATGATTACTTATGTCAATTATGCTATCATCTTTAGATTCTTCTGATCCATGTAAAACAGGTTGCCAAACTTTATCTTTGTTACTTGATATGATTAAAGAACTTTTATTATTATCGTCTTCGTTAGCTTTAGCAATGTCTAATGGTGAGAAAGGTAGAGTTTTATATATAGGTGGTGGCTGTTCGTGCAAGGCTTGAGGAGGCTTGTATTGAGGCAATGGAGGTTTAATGACTTCTGTATCATCATAAATTTGAGAAACAGGTTTCCTGTATACGTAAATAGGCGGTCTTATACCTTGAAATATTATAATCGGTGGTTTTTTATGAATGGGTGCTGTGGTTGTTGTTGTTGTTGCTATTGTTGTTTTACTAGTAGGAGTAGAAACTTTGTGAGTGTATTTAGGATATTCCATATGACTCTCCGATGGTAATAATGGTTTTCCTTCTGTATATTTAGGAGGTTTAGTAGTATATTTAACTTTTCCATGGCTAGCATGATTTCTTAATTCGTCGATAAAAGTTTGAGTAATCTGTTCTGATAGGTGCGATGCAAATTCTGGATCAACTGCTTGATTACCATAACCAGAAAGATATGGAAATCTTGATGATTTTAATCCTAACATCTTCCTCAGTCTATATTCTTTTACTTTCTCACGAAGGCTGGGAATAGTCTTTGAGCTAGGTCTTCTTATACCAAAAAATCTATTGATATTATGGGTAGTTGAAGTAATCCCTCCTAATATGGACGAAAGAATTTCACTTAAATAATCCTTCTTGATAGATATAGCAGATATTGGTCTAGGTATAAAATCGAAAAGTGGCCTTTTTTGTGATACATAAGCTTTAGTTATAGTGAATTTTGGACCTGATAAAGTTTTAAACTTGATTCTAGAGTCACTAGTATCTAGATCACCATTTTGCATTTTAAGTCGATTATGCATTGCACCTGCAGAATATACACCTTTCTGTCTACGTACAATATTTCGAGATGGTGAGACATAAATTGGCTTTGGTGGAGGTGGAGATTCGATATATATAGGCTTCTGTTCAAATAACGATCGAAAGGGTGATTTAGTGGCTATTTTAGTTTTGACTGTTTCTGATCCTTCAGCGATAAGATCATCTTTACTGTCTTGACTATAATCTTTATAGTGAGGATTACTTTCGCCTACAACATTCTGAGAAACTAATTTGTTTTGATTTACAACGTGAATGGGAGGATTGTGTTTAGATCTATAAATTAAAACTGGTAATTCGTTATATGGAAATGGCACAAACTGAACAGGATGAGGAGATGCAGTGTAAGGACCTTTTGGAACTTCTGGAACCGGCGGAAAATATACAACCGGAGGAGGAAGATTGCTATAGACAACGGGTCCTATATATTTAATTGACTTTTTTCCTTTAATCGGAGTATTATTATTATTTAGACTTGCTTCAGCTGCCAATAGTACATGTAACAGTAGAATTAAATACAGCATCTAGATAAAATAGAATAAAAATTTATGATACAATCACCAATTTTTGATATATATATATATTTTTATAAGATGAAATAAACCTAATAAAAACAATTTATTTATCATTATCTAGTTTTTCTTTCAAAAATTGTTTCTATCACGTTTAAATAACGATATTATCATACTGTAAATGTATTTTTTCTCTCTAATCTTTTATAAAATATTTGAAAATTCTGTATAAAATTTGAGTTATTTTCTACAAAAAAAAGGGGGGGAAAGAATTTAAAATTTGCAATTTTATGCTATTATTTTGATTCAATTTTCTATAAATTCTAATTTATAGTCAAATTTTTGTTTTTATTTTTTGGCTCTTTCTACTTTGTAAGCAATAAAAAAACCTGTCCTGGGTCCCTCAGAGAGGTTTTCTGACGCCCTTATTGTAGAAAATTACATAATATAATTTGAATTTATACTTGAAAATTATCCTGAATATCAGTTTATTGTAGTTTTTACAATGTAATGCAATACAATAAGTTTTTAGTATGATTTCAGAACAATGGAAATAAGACATATTTACTTAGAATGTAAAACGAATTTCTCAAAATAAAGCACATAAAATAGCGAATGTACTGCTGAGGTCAAGTTAGATGAGTCAAATTGAACTCAAGTTTACTAACGAGGTCATCTTTGTCTAAGGTCAAGTTAATCGTTACGTAAACTTAGAGATATAAGTTTTCAGGAAACTAGATTACTACTGAAATTAAATAACTGGTGACATTCCTACTTATGTAAATGGGACAAGATTGATTCACTAACTGGAATAAGAAAAATTCTCTTTAAAATATCGTATAATAAATTTATTATTACATTATATATACAATTCTATAACTAAATACTTAATCAAATTAACACTTATAATTTTACTTTCAATTATAAATTACCTGTTTAAAAGTAAACTGAAAATATTTAAGGAAAGTCCTTTTTTTTTAATTAAAAAAAAAGATTTAGTAAGAATTTATCTATAATACAATAGACCACCCTATAACACTTTAGATAATTTCGTTTTATATGAATTCCATGTTGTACGAGTCACTTAGATTTTACAAATACGTGTGCCTGGCTGTGAAGGGCTCAAGTATTTGTAAAATCTAAGTGACTCGTACAACATGGAATTCATATAACACGGAATTATCTACAGTGTTATAGGGAGGTCTACTGTATCTTGATTTTCTAATTAGTTACTAAGTAGATAGTGAATATTTAAGAATAAATAAATAAATAGTAAAATATAATTTTATTTATTCGTGCAGTGTTATATCATAATAATTTAAACAAATACATTACATATATCGTACATCTTATATATTTATATCCTACAAAATAATCAATTTAATTATATTTTCTACATGATTTTCTTCTATTCATAAAAGAAATTATATTATAGATATGTAGACCTAAATGTACTGTACGCTATATTCAATAACAAACATTATACTACATAAAAAATTGTTTGTGACAAACAACTGCAGAGTAATCTATTCGTAACTCATCTAGTATCACTATTGATTATTTATTGATGTAAAAGAAACATTCTGTATGATACTCGCATACAAATACCCGATTACCGATATTGAAACAGGTCAAACTAGCTTCGAAACGTGACTTATATCACTAATGTCTAAAAATATCGAGCAAGAAAGCTATAAGTTACATTCTTAAAAAGGTCGCATAACGTGAGTTCTTATCCGTCAGAAACTATATTTTTTAAAAATTGAAAACAACTTTAAACGTTATAATTAAATAAGAATTATTTAATTTACGAAAGTAAATACATAAACCACACATAACCGATTATATTTATTATCCAATTATAATTGAATCGATGTATGTTAACAGTAATATGCAATCAATCCAAACGTGTTTTCAATGGTTGGTTAATAGTGTGTGACGATCTATCGATCGAAATTGTGAGATTTCTTTGAAGACAACTTAATACAATAACAGAAAATGTGTTCCTTTACTGAGAAAAAACTAGAAGGAATTTCTTTTCATATAATAATAATAATTTTGGACCGTAAAAAAACTAGCTCCAAATAAAATTCGTTTATTCAACACTTCAATGATATTCGGCTTCGGGTTTCTTATATATTTTAAGAAGTGAATTACAATATTCAATATTAGAATCTAATGTAATTTAAATTCTCGAAAATCACTTTACAATATTCGATTTTAACATATATAAAAAAAAAAAAAAAAAATGTTCTCTTCTGTAACTATGCTGGAATTGAATAATAAAATTGAATTCTATATATCTGATATTAGACAATATTAAATTTTTCTAAATATACAATTATCTATAGTTGAAACTATAATATTATATAGATATTTTTTTCCCCTTAGATTTGCATTATTCTAATTTAAATGTAAGAATATATTTAAACGTATTCTTAATATATTTAATGCAGAAATTCTCAAAAGAGAAGAAAGATGATGTTAATATCATCATCTTTCTTCTCTTTTGAGAAACATTGAGGAAAAAAAATCATTTGTAAACAGTTACTTATATACATTATTAAAATTTTAATAGCTATTTTAACTTGCAAGCAAATTCAATAATATAAATTTTATAAGATGTATGTACCTTTTCCACGAAGCTTAGTATAACTTCCAGATATATCCAGTAAGAGGATGCTGACCAAACAAAATGAAGCACAGTTTTGCCTTATATACCGACCTACTAGAGATGTACATTAAAAAAAATAAATAAATAAATAAAAAGAAGAAGAAGCACATAACCTGGTAGCGGGGTGGGTCTCTTCTGTCCCAGTTCTACTCTATTGGTCCTCGAGAGACGTGTGACCTTGACATTGAGGCAACCACAACTATGTTGAAATAAAAGATAGTTTCGCTATTCACCTGTAAGAGGGGAAAACAGATATATATCTCTATTTATTTTTCCTGTAAAGTTTTTTTTTTTTTCAATTAAAAATTTAAATAGGTTTAGTAAGACAATGAATATATTGAATTTTCATTTGTAACTAGAACACCAGTTCGATTGTATTAATCTGTATCACATATTTATTCCCCGCTTTCTATAATTATACGATATTATAAATTGTCAAATAAATAATATTAAATATAACTTTTAAGATGTAGTTATCTGAAAGGTAATGCTTCTAGGAAGGCGAAAACAACACCAGGTTTTTGTACGACTTCTTTTTTTTTAATATATATTTCCTAGTATTGTTTGATGCATGCGGATATTGCCAAGAGCATAGGTTCGACGTACTAATGTAATAAACATTTCTTTCAACAATTTTAAATCCGGAAAGTTTAATATTTTACCATTATAAAACAATACAAATTTGAATGGAAGATATTTTGTTCTAATCTACAGCATTTTTCTCTATTCATAAATCGCTTTTAGAAAGTCTTTTTTTTTGCAATTTTTTTTTCTTTATTGTTATAATAGAGTTTTCTATTTTTGAGTAGGCTCCTATAGAAAATAGATGACCCACGTCTTAGTAAATACAGTAATATATCCATATAAGACACGCGAATACGTGAGACAATAACCTTTCGTGGGAAGTTTTTTCGTTATGATAAACTGCTTGACAAATAAATGATAGATGAACTTGTAGTATTGCCACTACTTTTAAGAAAAAAAAAAAAGGGTAAATTTTAAATTTTATTCCACTTTTTTTTAATACTGTAATTAATTAATAAGTATCTTGATCTCTTGAACGACAGTTCTAAAGCTTTTCAATGCGGAAAACAATGTTTTTTGAATGGAGTACGGGTATGAAGAATAGATAAATTTTACTACGTAGACTTATAAGTCTAGGAGTTATCATGATTAAAGTATATATTGATTATGTCACACGAATATCTTTTTATGAAAGACCACTGGTGCATTCTACGCGCTAGGTCAAACTGTGACCTTTTGAATGATAATGCAAATTAAGGTTATTCGGGTGTCAATTTAGAAATTTTGACCCGCTTTACGTATGATATCGTGTTGATAAATGATAAAATTTGATGAAAATTTAATTAAATACATTTCGTAAATATTTTTGTATACGAAATATATCATGAATTTATGATAAGCATGTAAAAGAAAGTATAAGTTATATATTTGGATAGTCAATTGTTTGAATTCTTGAAAGTTCATTTCTCCCTGGTAATAATAATCAATAGAATAATTATAATTTTTCTGTTAATTATAAAAATGATTCTTTGTAGATTATCTAGTATCAATTGTTTGATTAATTAAGCAAAAAAGATGCTGCTTAAATTTAATTGTCTTATTAAAAAGCGTGCATCAGTTATTGCCTTAAGGTGAACAATACACTATTATTTTAATTCATAAAGTTAAATGACCTTTATTTTATAATTACTTGTGGATAATATTTTAAAATCCAATTTAATTTCTAATATTTTATTATGAAGAATCTTTACAGTTTCTTATTATTTTATTAACAGTTTTATTATTGCATAAAATTTATTTTAATAACGAAAATCTTTATGTGATAGTTAAAAGATAGTTGTATGTAGTTTTTTAGAAGGAAACGAAAAAACAATCAGTCAAAGGTCGTCGAGAAGATCACAGAGGAAAGAGGACAGTTCCTTGTTTTTTTTTATTCCTGTTCTCCTACAGTACGGCCGAAAATTTGAAGGTGATAGGTCGTGTGAGGGTGGTATGAGACTCACGAATGAGGTAAATGAAACAATTATTATTCAAAAAAAATCATTCTACATTAGCTCTAAATAATATCTGGAACTCATTTGATTCGAAACGTATCATTTAGACTTTAAGTGACTTTCTTTGAAAGCTTATACACTTATCAAAACTTACAAGTTTATAAATAAATACCTTAAGTTATACTGAATTAAATTCATCTTAAGAGATAATATGATAGAACATGTGTAGGCCTACAATTTAGCATTGAATTATACCCACAAATTAAATCAAAAATACAATAATTCATTCTAATTGTTTATTTAATAATAGATTTGTGTACACATATCTATTAATATATACAATCGAACCTCTAATAACGGCAACCTGCCAACAAAGCCCACTTCTAAATGTTCCAGTGAAGTTGCTCTCGTACAGAGGTTTGAGTGTATTTTAAAACCTACTGATCTTCCAAAACTAAAACTAGTTAAAAGTATTTTTAAAAAACTAATATAAAAACCTACATTTTAAATAGTAAAAACAACAGTAGCGTGTAATATTGTGCCCAATAATGCATTCAAGTTTTTGTATATATCTTATTGCTTCTCTTTTTAACCTAAATTTTGACGGTATCATAGACCTAAATTCAAAAATATAGGGCTTGATGCAAATTACAGTCTAGTATATCCTAAATTATATAGAAATATACGGTGTATAATGTTATCTATATTTGATTAACACTCAGAAAGAATAGAAGATTTTCTTCTATATATACAAATGCGTGTGTATATTTTTTTAATGTTTTTTTTTGTATTGCCTCTAGCAAATCGATTTAATGCCAGCCACTAAAACAAAATTATACGAAAAACTGCACTTGATAAGATCATAAAATAGAACCGTAATCAACGATACAAATCACTTAAATATACATCAAAAACGCGAATTTACAATTCACCTCGCAGTTTTTTCCAGGAAAAATATTTCTTAACGTTCTTTAAATTAAGACTATATTATTAAATATTTTAAATTGACATCATTTTTTAAGGCATTTTCTAGTTTGTGATAAAATTAATCTAAAAATAGGTTGGATTTTTATTTATTTATTTAGTCTAAGAATTATATACACGAGTTTTAGTAACACAATAAATGAGGTAATCATGTCAATAATGATAGGAATCTTTAAAAAAATAATATATTTATTTGCGTTATTTTTTTTAAATATTTACATATAATAATTTATACTAAAATTTTTTTTTTTAAATTAACGATAAAAATCTAAATCAAATTATAAATATTTTACGTGTATTTTATTTGTTATCATTTGAATTTAACTAATATAAATTCTTAATATTTGGTTTCGATTCTAACTACTGATTTTTACTAATTTACATCAGGAATGATAACGTTTAAATATGCATTATTCTCCTTGTGTTATCAATGTTATTTATCTTAAAACATAGATTATGTACTGTACGGTACAATTGTATCGTTTACTTTCTCGATACAAATCCGAATACTTTTAAAAAAAGTTTAATATTTTAAATAAAAATTTTTATATGTTATTTAATAATTTTTCGAATTTCAAAACTGTTAAATTTACGTTTAAACAGCGTTAAATTTTGTACAGATATCTCTGTAATATGCTACTTTATTTTCTTTATTTTAAATTTTCTTTACAGATTTCAAATGTTTTATATATTCTTGAAATATCTGTAGACCTTAGACATGATGTTTCAGACAATAAAGTGATATTCTCTGTGATACTCTGTACTCTTTCCATTCTGTAGGCCGTTCTGTTATCGTATGGGCAATAAAAGACAATTGCCTGGATTGAACCAACAGGAGACCCCAAAACCAATCTATTTATAAGAAAATATTTCCCTCGAAGAAAAATTTCTGAAGTCAATAAGATACGTGGGTCCCCCAATTCAAATTTTCCTGGGCTCGTGAAGTTATAACGCACCATTGACTAAGGTGTCTTTTTTAAGCCCATTCTGGAATTGGCCAGGCCCACAATTGAATGGCTAGCCAGGGGGTGAAAGATGGATCCGGGACAGACCGTCTCTCAAAAAATTCCTCCCAAGTTTCCGAAACGGTAGGATGACTCAATCAAACCTTTTGATTTCTACTGAAGTTATAAAAATAGCTGTGATTAATGATAAAAATTTAGAAATTAACTCATTTTTAACGTTGAGAATAATCACTATCGACCTAAATATTTTTTTGTAACGTCTGAATAGAAATTTTTTTCCTTGCCGGATTTTAATAACCTTTGAACTTACTAAANTTGAAATATCTGTAGAACGTAGACATGATGTTTCAGAGAATAAAATGATATTCTTTTACTCTTTCTGTTCTGTAGACACTAAGAGCAGTGGCGTGTTATCCTTTGGGCAATAAAGAATAATTGCCTAGGACCAACAGGAGTCCCCAAATCAATTTTTTATAAAAAAAAAAATAATATTTTCCTCAAGTCAGTCCTGTTTTTATTTTCTTAAAATTTGAATTTAAAAAAAAATCAATTTTTAATTTACAACATAAAACTTTTGTCTTGGTTTATTAATTTTAATAAAAAAAAATTTAAAATAAAACAAAAAATTTACATTGCAGTTACTTTAAAAATTCCATATAAATCATTGAATACTGGTATACTGTAAATGATAAACAGAGACTAAATTGTTATATACAAATAATTAGTCACAAAGTACATGAGAAGTATTTTAAATTCGTGTCTAAAGATTAATTACAAATTCGTGTTAAAATTGAATCATTATAAAAATAAAAATTTGTATAAAAAGTGTTTAGTCGTTAATAAAATGTAAGGATATTCTTGGATTTGTATTATCGTTCACCTAGCAACTAAGATAATACTGATAAATTACCCTCGTTCCGCCACAATTAAGCTTTTTCTGTCTATGTCATACAATATTTAGAAGGTATGCGTAACCCTCAGAACATAAAACAAACATCCTGGAAATAATTATAAAAGTATTTAGAATATAGCATAAGTATCCTTTTAAAAAAAATGAAGATCTTTGTGATAATGTTATTGTTTATTTTCGGCGTAAACAGCGATGATTCAAGTAAGTTTTAAAATTTTTTAATAATCACGTAGCTTATAAAATTCATTGAATTAATGTTATAAAATTCTAATACTTATCAAAAGTTAAATCGTTAATTTGTATACTTTTTAATTGTCTTTCTCTTTATAAAAAAAAAAATCGCTCTCATCCCATAGTAAATTGGAGAAATGAAAAGAGAAGTTGTTTTAATGTAATTATAAAAGTGAAAGTATAATATGGGAATATTCAATTAAGTGAAAAGAAAGATGCTATCGGTTATACATTTAATTAAGTAGAACATCTTTAGCGACAGGTAATACGTATCACTTTCGTATACGTGGGATTCGAGGAGGCTGTTAATACAGTAATATCCCGAAACCAATAAAATGAAGTCAAAGAACTAATTAAAATTTGACTAATTATTGAAACGATAGATAGATCTATGGATCTAATAGCAAATTATAAGGATCTATTGTTATATTATTATTTTTTTTTTTACATTATCAAGTGAAATAAATTTATGTTTATATTTAATTTATGAATACAAAAAATGTAATTATAATTCAGTTCTTTTTAACAAGTTAGTAATTAAATTATGCGAAATTACTTTATCCTGGTATGTATTAATTAATCTTAGTTTCAATTTATGTTATCGGTAGAATTATGGTGCAGGGAATTATGGCCGTATGAAATCTTTTCGATGTTGCAGACTTACTTTCACATTTATGAAATACTCAATTCTTAATGTTAGATAATAATTATTAACGGCACCCAGACTATTAAGGCGTAAGCCAATTGCTTTGGAGGATCCGGGATCGAATCAGGGTGGTACAGAAATTTTTCGTGGACGATAAGTCCTGGATATGCCAAACCAAGTCCCTGACCATCCGCCGGCTCATTGGGGGTTTGGCGAAACCCACGATGGGTGAAAAATTTCTGGGAGAAAAATGAGACCGCCCATTATGGGTTCGAACCATAATGGGATGAACCCCATTATGGGTTCGGCCGTCTCATTGTGAGCCATAACGGGCTTGCTAAAAGAAGCCTTCTTAATGCCCACAGGGCGAAGAGTTAAAAAAAAAGGAAGAGTCCGTGCATGTTGTAAAAATATTTACTTTACATTCATTTCATTTAATGTATAAAAACTTATCCTTAATTATTTTTTTATTTTTGATACTCTGATGCTTCAGAAGAGTCCATGCATCTAGAATGAAAAATATCGATTTTTCAATACTGTATCGCACCGTTGAATCGCGCGGCAATACGCAGAATGTGCTTTACATGCTTTTAAATAAATATACATATTTAGTTCTTTAATCTATTAACCGATAATCCGAAATATCCGATAGTTCTGCACTCCTCGAAAAGTAGCCGGTAATTCACAATTGTCCGATAATAATTTGACATGGCAATTTCCGCGAGTCGGAATTATATGATGGACACGTGATGCCCTAAAGACTCCGGGTAGAAATCAAGGCAAAGCTACAAGGTGTGGCCATTTACTTTGTTAAATATTAGAAGATTTACCATGAAATCAAGAGTGACCTGATCGAGAAAAATAACTCATTGCAACACTTTGTGGGACACAAAGTTGGACATTGCTCTAAATTTTAAATCAGCGTGCGCTGGTACAAAATGTAGCCTATAGCGGTATTTGCAACGTGCAGATAGCATGTTACTTTTTGAATTTTGCAAAAAAAAAAAAAAAAAAAAAAAAAATTAGCCCGGCAATCCGTATTTTCGATAATCTGGCACACTGGCCCCAGAGCAAAATTTTTTTCAAAACTCTTTCCGTCCTGTGGGCACTAAGAAGGCCTCTTTTAGCAAGTCCATTATGGATTCGGCCAGGCCCACAAGGAGGCAGACGAGAGATGAAGAACGGGACTCGACATATCCGGAATCAAATCAGAACGGGTCAAAAAATCCCCGGGAATATTTCGGGGGGTAGACCACCCCCCGAAATATTCCCGGGGATTTTTTGACCCGTTCTGATTTGATTCCGGGTCCTCCAGAGCGACCATCAGGCGGTCCGATTAGGGAGATATTAATAAATGAGACCATATCTCAAAATGCTTCCAAGTCATGAAATTTTTATTACTCGTACAAATCTTTAGTTTACTAAATAAAAACTCACGTCTACTCCCAAAATTAAGCCTTTGGCCTTTTTATTAAAAAATTAATAATATAAACGTTATTTTTAAAAATAAAATCTTAGATGGCGCCACACACAATTTTTTAAACTGCTAGTATGTTTCTTAATTACAAATATTTTTTTCCGGGAAAGTTATGCAACTCGTTACTGAATTTTTCTTTCCTTTCTGTAAAGTTGATTAAATATTTTGAAATAGTGCATATAGAATTTATGGTTATTGCAGTTGTAGGACAAGTTGTAGATTCAAATATTACTTTACATGTTATTATTGGGCTGCAATTTGAAAAAATTTTAGACCTATAAATTCCGCCCTACTGTGAACTGGCCGAATATATGGCGGGTACTGAGAAGACGTTTGACTTCCCAGTACTTGCAGGACCGAGGGTCAGAAATGAAAGTGTCAAGTCTTTGATGACTTTGGTAATTTTTCTTTTGTTTGGATGATTTTGATTATGTTAAATCCATGGCAAGAATTCATTAATCAACTAATTTAGCGTTCACTGTCAATTTTAGCAAATATCTTTATTTCCAAAGTAAATTCTACAGGTTATATTGCAGATATCATGTATATCAAACCATGTTTACTTTCCCTGACTCTGTTATATATATAAGGATTGGGCAAAAATTGATCCCTCAACATTTAAAAATTTTTGGACTCAGGAGACCTTAAAATGCCGATAAGTGCAAAAAAATCAGGGTAGGGGTTTCTATATTTATGGGCGTGTGTGCATGTAGGGCACAATTTTATTTACCCTCTTTGAAGCTTAAAAACTTCTGTCTATTTTGTCGAAAATTTCTGAAATTTTGCAGAGAGGTTTGTTTATTAAGGGGATTTATGCTATTAAATTTTGGTTGTTTTAAAGGTTGAGGGGGGTGGGGAGATAAAGAGTGTCATATGTTGTATCTTTGAGTAGGATCTAACTTTTTTTTTTTTTTTTTAACTCTTTGCCCTGTGGGCACTAAAAATGCCTCTTTTTAAAGCCCATTGTAGATTCTGCCTGGCCCATAATGGGGTGACCGGATGGAGAGGGATGTGACCTGACAAATTTTGGACAGATCACGATCCATTTGGATTCTTTCTCAGAATGTCAGACTGAAATCTTAACCAGATGGCCGAGGCAGTAAAGCATTAGGCTACTGCTCTGGCGAACCCAAGAGCAAATCTGGACTGGTCGTGGTCCATTGCAGATATATTGAGCCCCAAACCTCTTCTCTCGGTTATCCCTTTGTGGTCTTGGGCAAACTCATAATGAGTTTGATGTAAAAAAATAAAGTTCTCTAAGTGCTTGCAGGACTGAAGGAGTAAAAGAAAATATATATCATATGTATTGACAAGTTTTTGTTTTATTGCCACTTTGTTAAAAATAAGAAATTCAATTTTTTCATTATTATAAATCAATGATTTTTCTTCTGCTATATCTACTTCTTATTAATGAAATATCACTGATCTTGAATATTGAAATATTGTATTAATGCTTTTATCAAAAGTTTCAGTTTGTTCAATTTAAAAATTTGCTTTTGGATCACCTTGTTTAGCTTTATTATGAAGTCTGTAAATGCGATCGATAATGAAGGTGATACTGATATTCTATTTTTAATTTGAATGAATTTTTTTCAAATACTTAATATGTTGTTTAAATTTTATAATATCCTATGTGTCATTTTATTGTCATTTTCCTTAATTTTATTTTACATGCCTTTGGTATTTGACTTATTCGGAAGAGTTGAACATTGTCTAACTGTACTTATATATTGTTGTATTATTTTCCACTATTTCTAAAACACTCATTAATTTAATTTTTCCGTCTTTCTACATATTCTTTTGAACTTTCTCTAGTGTATAGTTTTTAGGCGATTTCCTGCTTTTCTGTAGTGTTTGTTTAGCCTACATATAATAAATTTATTGCAGGAATTGTATTTGGCAAAAAAATTATTTTATTATGTTAATACTGTAGTCCTAGTCTTTAAAATGTTTACTTCAAATTACTGATCATAATTTTTTTCCTTGAAGAGAAATTGTTACAATTCATTTTTTAAATGAGATATCATTATCTGCCTAGATTTGCAAAATAGGCTTACTATAGTACACCAGTTGTATAAATTTTAAAAAACAAATAGATAAGCATGAAAGAGTTTAACAGCAAGATGGCCGAGCAGATAAAATGACAACCTACTGCTCTGGGATCCCAGGTTGAATCTGGACGGGTTGAAAAAACCCAAGGAATTTTTCGGAAGATGGTCCTTCCAGATATTTCGAGCTTCGTACCTTACCATCGGCCACTCTATTTTGAGTCTGGCTGAATAATAGGCTTCTAAAAAGAAACCCTCTTAGTGCCGATGAGACAGAAAGAGTTAAAAAAAAAAAAACATAAAAGTTTTTAAAATATCAGAATTTCTTTATAATCTAACATTTCAAAGAACTAAAGAGAATTCAGTTTACTGATAAAATTCACTTCTATTTCCAGGCCTTGAAACTATCTCATAGCCTATGGTTATTAATGAAACAGTTATTCTAGAATAAATTTTTATTGCGTGTTTGGTTGCATGTAACTGAGTTCAAAATAATATGACCAGTGATTTTATTTTAATGATAAGATTTGAAGTGGGAAAACATGAAATATTTCAAAGATTACTATGGGAAAAAATGGAACATTTAGTAAAAAAAAAAAAGAAAAGTGTAGTTCAGAAGAACTATGAAAGTGACATATCAGTTTTCAGTCATGTGATAAAGTTAAGCCTGTGTTTGCTGTGTTAAAAACAAAGTTCAAACTTGTAAACCTATGAAATAGCTTAATTAATTAGTAATAATAACTAATAATGGCATTATATGGATATAACAGTGGCACAAACTCTTCAAGTATTCTCTTGGCAGGCCTGGGATAGATATTTATTGCAACAGTTATTCTACTTCCAAATATAGTAGTTTTTCTTAAATCTTGGAAAATTAGACTTAGGTCTTATTGCAAAGTAAAGCTGGCACATTGAGCTATTACATTTCTTTATTTTGGCATTAGTAATCAAAAATGGTTTTCGATTTCTAAACCAGAATTTTTATACCGTATTTTTTTTTTTTGTGTGCAATTGTCTACTGGCTCTGGTCGTGTTGCCAATCTTTCTTAATGAGAATTTTCAATTTGTTTTTTTACTAAACATTCCATTTTTTCCCACAGTATTCTTTGAAGTCTTTCATGTTTCCTCCTTCATATCTTATCATTCAGAAAAATTCAGTCATAATTTATAGACTGCCCAATCTCAAAGGGGCTGTCTATAAATTATGTCTGAATTTTTCTCGAAATTTTTCTCCTCCCAGTTTGTCCAAGTTTCCATAATCCTATCCCCTCTTTGGACTTCTAACAAAACTCGACTCCCCTCAAAACTTTTATCATTTTATGAGTAATAAAATGTATAAACTGAATAAAATTTAATGAAATAAAACAGACGTCCATTGAAGTTCAATCCTACTCCTCTCCATGTCCAACTAGTCATAATTCCTTCCCTCCCTCCAAGTGTGGACGTTATTTATGGAAAACCTCTAAATTTGAATATGAAAATTGCAGTTTTAGAAAAATCTTTATACAAAAGTTTTTCTATAACTGCAGTTTTCATAATTGAATTAGGGGAATGGGAACGAATTTAACATTTATTTTAAACAATTAACAAGATCCTTCATTGCAGCCAGGTAACTCATATTTGCCAAGATTCTTGTCTGCTCTTTGGAGAAAAAGCCTATGTGGCTGTAATCTCCATATAAACCATAGAAAGACAGAAAGATTCTTGTCCCAAGAAGAGTGAATATTCACCTTCATATTTTGTGTTTCCCTGTCTTTTTTTCCCATTAGTATAATTTTTCATGTACAAACAACTATAGTCCTAAACTATAAATCAAACTTCAATTAGAATTTATGGACTATAATCAGACTATAATTTACATTGATTAATGCTAATTTGAAAAGTAAATTGAGGTAAGATGGGTGACATTCTTTACCTTACCAAATTATTTATTAATTTCAATTAGTGGTTCATGCCTGTTATGCAGCAAAACTGAAACAATAAACTTGCATTATGTTATTATTTACAACAAAATAAATTTTTGTTTTATTTTTGAATAGTCAAATTTTCACATAATTGAGAGCTCTACCATTTCTACATTTTTCATGTTATTGCAAAACCAAATGCAAAATTCAAATATCACTATTACTATTAGTTTTATAAATATACAAATAATTATACAGTACATAACAGTAAATATATGTATACTGTGTATATTTTAACTATATATATATTGTTATTTTTTAATTAAATTAGCTTTGAGTTATAATGACATTTTTTAAATAGTTTTTCTATTCCACCAATAAATAAAGTGAATATTTTTAAATTACAATCCAAGTTATATAGAGCTGATTTTTATTGCAGATATTAAAACAGAATTTTATTTTCAAATGTTAATTTCTCTTTACCCTTTTTAATGCTAATAACAACTTATGTCTAAAGTCTTTGAATTTATTTTTAGCTTTTTTAGTAAGGAAATAGATTTCACTTAGATAACTAGAGATAGGTTTTGAACCTAAATATATATTTTCATATAAAAATGTTAATTTAACACTTTTCTGTAAAAGATTTTCAATTCAATGTTCATATTATTTATATAGATTCGCCACCAAATTCTATCTTCTTTTGGATTATATTGTGATCTTGTTTGGTTTGTCAAAATCATTATTCTGGCAAGGCTTTAGAACTACATGTGCTAAAAAAGTTAGTGGTCAACCTATATATATACAGTATATAGAAGTAAAAGATATCAATTGGTACCTTAATTTAGTATTTTTCAAAATGTTTTGCTTCTATCAACTAAAAAATAAAAGTTAATAAGCATAAAACACAAGTTTGAATATTGTGCTTCTTATTTATAGGTGCTAATTAAGTTAGTGGTTATAAAGTATATATACAGTATATTGAAGTAAAAGTTATTTATTGGTACCTTAATTTAGTATTTTTCAAAATGTTTTGCTTCTATCAGCTAACAAATAAAAGTTAATAAACATAAAACACAAGTTTGAGTATTGTGCTGCTTATTTATAGAAGAGTAATATAATTTTTTTTCTGATTTCTTATATTCCTTAATTAGAAATGTTTATTTACATTAACAAAAGGTAGAAAAAGAAAGAAATAGAAATATTGACATGAAATCTTATACTAAGGAATCAATAAAAGTATTCATTTTATATAACTTTGATATTTTATTTAAAACATACTGAAAAAGAAATGATTCTCAAAAGAGATTTATAAACATAAAAATTGTAAAGAAATTCTTTTCCAAATATTGACAACAACAAAGATCAAGTATAAGGAAATGTTTGAATAACTTATGAAAATAATTTACATTTAGTAAACAATAAGATGATTTAATTCTATAATTTGGCAAAAATATATCAGTTGAAACTGAAACTGATTCATTATGTAACAAATAGAAAATGAACAGCTCTAATACAATCATAATTATGTCTGCTAAATAGTGACGATGTACTATTTTTTTAGAATTGAGTAAAGATAAACCAAATATTACAAAAATGCAGAATTGTAAATTTTATCAGATTCTGCTTGATGCTCAAGAGTTATAATTTTGAATTTATGAATAATGAAATTAAAGTATATTTTGAATAATATACTTTAATTTTAGTAATGAATAGATCTTACATGTTAATTAATTACTGTAATGTTTTCCTATAGCATAAGTTTAAATTATATATTATAATATCTGAAAGCAAGGGTATCTTCAGAGAGGAAATGGGCCACTGCCCTCCCCTGGGATCAAATAAAAACTTTCATAAATTATAATTGTAAAAGTAGTTGAGATGTGTAACCTTACACCCTCAACCTTGGACACTTTGTCTATCTTTCATATTGATATAATACTGTGTTTGATAATATACTTGTGAAAAAAACCCAAAAAATTAAATAATTAAATAAAAATTTATTGATGTAATTATTTGTTTTCAAGCCTTCCCTTTGGAAATTTTCTGCTGACATCCATGATTTCATAAAAATGTTAAAAAGAATAGTTATTTTCAGACATTTTTATTTTTAATTAATTGATATATCTAATAAGTTTATTATTATATTATTTCATATTGAAAAATACTTTTGAAAGCCTTGAAACTAATATTATATGCATAATTTTAACTTCCAGAAATTTATATCATCTTCTCAAACTGAAAATAAGATATTTTTAAAGTCTATTAACAAATTTCTGTAAATGTTTATTAAAAGATATATCAGCTTGTTTTTGTGTAAATGTTAAGACATCATGAATTTACAGTAATACTTTCCACTTAAAAAGTCGTAATGCAAAAAATATCTCAAAATACTCGTAAATATTTGAATGTTATCAGTAATAATAAGCCAAAGTTTATTGTTTTAATTATCATTAAACTCTGTTTCTGACAATGCTTTTCAACATAGTGTGAAAAGTTAAAGATGTCAAAAATAGAAAGTTTATAAAATAGAAAATTCAAATTTTATTACTATTTTTCTCATTATGTTATAGTTATGGTTAAATCAATATAAAAATATTAATAAAATTTAAAATCAAATTTTTCAGTTTTTAAAGATTTGAAATCATATTATGAATTTAGAGAAGATTTTGAAAGAGGTAAAATTATTTAATAATATACATGGTTTTATTTTAACAAATTAAATTAATATGTTTTCAAATTCTAGACACTGAATTATTCAATTTTACTTTGGCAAGACCAGTATTAAGGACATATTTCGATCCAACAAATTTTCCATTCAAGATTAAACCAATAAAAGAATCTATTCAATTCAGTTTCATTTTAAATGAAAATTTTGATTATTCAGTAAATATTTATATTTTAATTCTGAATTTAATAATGCACATTGTTATCATAAATTGTATATTCAGTAACTGTATTATAAATTTGCAGATTACCACCACTTATGATTTTAAAATAGTAGCTCAAGAAGGTGAAGAGGTAAGGAAATTCTGATAATTGATAGAAGATTATGAAGATTAATTTTTCAAAAATGATTTTGTTTAATGTTTTTCTGAACATATCCAAGGATATAATTCCATAATGCTTCTGACGTTTTGATATTTATTTTATTAATTTTAATATTGAAATGAGAAACATTACATTTATACATGAATATTTTAATTTTCTTAGCAAGACTATGCAATAAATTTATTTGTTTTATATTGAAAAATATTCATAATAATCAACCAAAATAATATCTTTTTTTGGTCTGACATTTACTTGTTTTTATTTTGGCAAAAGTATGTTGTTATTAAATTTTAATTTTTATTTCCTACTTCAATTCTTGATGCAAAAATGAAATTTATATTTCACTAACAAGAACTGTTTAATTATATATCATCACTGTGTATTGTAATTATGTTTCACATAGTTATTGGAATTATGGTTTTTATGACATTTCATTTTTAAAAAACATTAAAATATTTCTTATTTTTATTTAACATTAATCTTGAGATATTTAGCATTATATTTCAAGATTATTTAAGAGTAATATTTTAATATATATAATATTTTAAAATTTTAATTAAGTGTTTTATGTATTAAATTAATTATGTATGTAAGTGATAATACATTTATTTGTTTATCAATGCTACTATTTAAATTACATAAATAAACTCAAAACACTAAAAAGTACTTTTACTATTTAAAGTATCTTCAGATTATATTCCTATAAATAAGGTCAAATATATTTAAAATTTAAATTACATTTTAAAAAATTGTGTAATTTCTCAAGCAGAATATTTCTTCTTTACAAATAATTCCATATTTCTGATAAATTTATTATTGTTTTACTATGTTTCTTCCATAGTTGATTAAAATACTATAAATAGTGCTTTTTGTCTTGCAACATAAACATTACCATGGCCCATTCTAGTTCATAATTTTCATTTAAAGTTAACTTGTCAGCATTATATCTTTTCTGTTGTTAATAATGTTTAGAATTTGTGTGTATGAGACTCATGAAAAGAATGGGAAAAGATGGAATTATATAGGGTGAGTCATGAGAATGGGGAAATAATAAGTTAAAATGATAAGTTTTCTGCCAAGTACAGTTGCTTGTTGGATCAAAGATATTGGAAATAACATTGTCCAGCAAATTGCAGGCAAAGCATAATGTTTCAGTTGGTATTCTCTTGTGCTAGATGAATCAACTGATGTTTTGACATCTTGCAGCTCTTAGTACCACTTTCTCAGCTGTTATATAAAAGGGAAAGTATGGTGATTGGTCAAAAAATTACCCTCTAAGATTTTTACATTTTTGGACTTAGGACACCTTGAAATATCAAGAAATGCAAAAAAATTCAAGTGTAATTTCTGTATGTATGAATGTTTGTGTGGGGGCATGCTTTTGTTCACCCTCTTTGAAGCTTAATAACTCCTGTGCTTTTTGTCAAAAATTTCTGAAATTTTGCAGGAAAGTTTGTTTATTAGAGGGAATTAATGCTATTGAATTTTGGTGGTTAAAGGTCGAGGGGTGGGGAGATAATGGGGGTCATGTGTATCTCCTGTACGGTCAGACTTATGATGATTTTACTTGTTATTAGCATTTACAATTTTTTATAAAACTCATCCTTACCCTCAGAATTAAGCTTTTTGCCATTTTATAATAGTTAAAATATAAAAAGTTTTTAAAACAAAATATAACAACAGATGGTGCCATCAAAATTTTAAATGTTGTTGGGAAAGGTGAGCAACTCATTGCTAGTTTATTTTTTTGTGGCATTGATGAGGAACTTAATGTCACAAAGGAATTAGCCGCCCTTTATAGCATGCATGACACTATAACAGAAGAGGATATCTTCAAAGAAATACAAAAAATGCTGGCATAATATAACCCTGAACTGGAAGTAACTGCAATGTGTGACAGTTGATGGAGGGAAAAAACATATCTGGTACTAAGATGGGTTTGGCTGGTCAAATCACAAAAGCTTGTGAGTTTGCAGGTTTATCAAAACTCATGTTTCTTCACTCTATTACCAACCAACAAGTACTTTGTGAAAAACATGTTGATATGTTCTGTGTCTTGAAACTTGTTTCTGTGGTAAATTTCCAGAACTACTGATAATACCCATGTTCACATAAAGTTTTTGCTTACAATGATTTATATTATCATTTTCCAAGATATTTTCCTCTCTTCCTAACTTACCCTATATGTCATTTCTTTGAAAATGAAAAAGCTTTGTTTGGAAATGCTAAATTTTAAAGGAATGACAAGAAAAACTTTAAAGAAAAGATTGTATGAACATGAGAAAGACACCATTAGCATTATACAGAAGTATTTTATGTACATGTATCTGCGCAGATAAGATGACAGTTGAATCATAAAAAAGGCCCCCAAAATCCTGGGTTGTCTTATAGGACAGATACAAAAAAAATTAGATTGAAATTTATATAAATTAAAACCATTATAAAATAAAACAAATCACTCACCAATGTATTTAAATAGCCCATACAACATTTTTGTGAATAGTCAAGGTCATTACCTGAATGCCCGAATCAGTGTGAATGTTTGCAATAATCACAAGACAGTACTGTCTGATGCAAGAAAATAAAATTTGTTCATTTGAAAAATTACAAATAGGACATAATTCTGTATATGCTATGCAGTATTATTATCCAGATGATGATCACTGATCTAAACTAAATTCATAAGCCATTGATAGTTTGGGGGTCATCTTATAGGACAGATATATGATAAAACTATAAAGCGTTGACGAAAATTTTTACCTCATCTTATCTTAAGGTCATCTTATGTGTGCAGATGTATGGTCATTTAAATTTAATATATTCAATCTTTTATATTGAACAGTGGTCAGCAACCTAAGGTATGCATGCCAAACATGGCACATGGGACAATTTTCAGTAGCACGATGATTGAATAGAAATGTAGTAAAAGTTATATTTTAATTATTAATTACATATTTAAATGGAAACCATAGTTCAGTGTAACACTATGATGTAAGTTTGACACAGCACTGCTAAGAGGTTGCTGACCCCTGATATAGAATATAATCTGAAGACACTTTAAATAATAAAAGCAAAATTATTTATTAGTTTTTCAAGTTTGTTTATGTTGAAGTGAATATATGCCTCAGGTGTTAAGAAAAAAATCAGTTAATGTTAATGTTTTTTTGATGATTATAATATTCAGTTGTATATTATAACTATATTTTAAAATAAACTTATATTAATTTCAGAATTATTATAGTAAAACAGTTCAAATTGAAATCATAAAAGTAAATAAGTATAAACCATATTTTCTTCAATATAATGATACTATAAATTTAGAAGAGGTCAGTTAAATTTAAAAATCTATAATCTGAAATATTTTATTTAAATTATATGAAAAAACACAAACCTTTCAAATATAGGAAAAAATTCATGGTGAAGTTTTAAGAATATTGGCCAAAGATGATGACAAAAAAGATTTTATTAAATGTTATATTGAAGTAAGTAGTGAATTAAGTTTTTATATAAGTTACTGATATTAAAATTTTAATTAAAAAACAAACTTAAATAATTTAAAATTTATGTTTTTATAGAACATTGACAAACTAGACAGTAAGTTCTCACTACCGCAAACTCCATTTAGTGAAGATAAAAGGCCTCTTAATAATGTTACTCTGAAAAATATAGAAAAATTAGATTATGAATCAATGACTTCTTATAGAATTGTGATAATAGTCAAGGTGAGTATAAATATAAATACAGGTATCCTGCATATGACATGGTACTTCTACAACATGATTTGAAAATTGGGGATATCCCCTGTACAATACGACTTCCAGTTTCACTCTAAAAGAGTTTTGGAAATCCTCCATACAAAATTTCACAATTTTTAAGTGTAAACTTTGTTATTCAATATTTATTTCTTAGAGTAAGCATGCATGTTGTCTCAAATTTGCCCATGAATTTTAGAATATTGAAATTTTCAAATTATTTTGTGCTTTTGTCAGGTTTACTTTAATGAAAACTGATAGTGCAATTTTTTCTTCCTTGTCCTAACTTTCCTATCAGCCAGGTGTCGTTGTCATTGCTTTTAGACTTTAGTCCTTAAGACTACCACTGTGTTTTCTTTTTATAGATTAATCTTTGTATCTAGTAAAGTTTATTTAAACATTTTCAGGTAAGTGTTATTCAACATATTTTTTAACTATAGGTAAGCAATCATTTGTAAAATGACGAACAAAATATGGCAGTATCTTGGTACTCAAACAATTCAGTATTCGAACACAAATTCTGGAAAAAAGAAATACTGAGTATTTCTTTTGCATGGTATTTGACTGAACAAACACAACCCGCTAGAACAAATTTTCGATTAATAACATTTTTATTTCATCATCCATAAAAAAATTTTTATGATAGAAATAAAAAATATGAGAATGTTGCTGATAATTCCAATCAAGATCAACAAAAAAAAAGTTGAGATGACAATGATACTTTGTAAAAAGAAAATGCAATCATTTAACTAAAATCAATATTAATGCACAATACATTACTTTTAATTATGATTATGAATTAATTATTGATTGGAAATAAATTATCGATTACTTTAATAAACATATTTCTCTTAGTAACAAAAAAAAGAATAGTGTAGTGCTACAGCACTAATTGTATTGTACACAAATGTAATGTCTTGTTTCGGTTTATCTCGTATCAGATTATGGATCCGTGTATGTAAAATTTTCGTTCATGTCGGAAAATCACCTTTTTGTGGTGTGTGCTCACTGATTGGGTGAGGGTTGTAAACGTAGTAATGACGTAGTATGTATCAGGGAGACGGTATAAAAGGGGTGGTTTGCCTGAAGAGTGGACTTTTTTCGTCTCAACCTTGGATTCTAGAAGTTCTGACGGGTCGTTTCGCTGGATCATCTTTGCTACGAGAAAAGGAGAAAGAATGAACTGCTGAGGAGGCTAACTAAAATCCAACTCCATCCACGTGGACATTGTGAGGTTCGACTGAATAGAGGTTCCTAAAGGAAGAGAACATCAACACGAACAATTGTAAGGTGATATTTCTTGTGTTATGTCGGGGATAAAGCAAACCCTCGTGGTATGTAATTAGAACAGATCTTGTATATGTTTCGCGGTTGGAATTGTTCGGTTCAATTCGGCTAGAGTATTTAACCTGAACTGTAAGAGACCGTGATAGTGTAATCGTCACAGAATAAACACGCTTGTTTTCTTTGTTTAACAATTTTGTCATTGTGAAGTCCTTATTCTCCGTTGTCATACCCAACCCTAATACCTAGTATACCCAGGTATACCGGGGATAA